CACAGCTTCACAGTGATGTTTATGTGTAACGCTGAAGAGGCAGAAACTTATGATTCCAAATGTTCTTGTCCTTCTGGCAATAAAATGACTACTTTGACCTGGGCAACTCAGGAATGTCAGCCTTAATAGTCTCTATCCCCTAGTTTGTGCTTCTTGGATATATTCAGCATCTTTTTGTATGACACATAACCAAACTTTAAAGCTTCAGTGTACTGATATTTATGTATATGAATATCACTGTTTATTTGTTTATCTGTTTAGGTATGCTACATTCAGAATTTAGTTTTTTTTAATTATTATTATTGTTATTATTAAGCAAGCAGCTCATGAGCATCTTCAAACAATGGTTTTGCCACAGATATGTTGCTCTGTGTTGCTGTCCCTCATGTAGCCATTAATAAAAATGAGTAGGTTGTACATTGCATAACTTGATTGATACTCGATTTTTGAGGCCAAAATTAATATTTGAGATCTGATATTGTGATATTCTGATACAGTGCTAAGTCATGAAAAAATCTTGACACAAATCCTTCCTTTTATTTGTGAGTGTTCTGTGTGTGAGACAAAGATACCTAATGAGTGGATCATTTTACAGTAAAAAAAATAAGAAAAAGGTGTGTTTTCTTATTGATCAGCGTCACCACTGTCTCTAATACACATCAAAGCAAGTTTGGCATTCCTATACTGCAACTTCTTGTTATTTAGTAGCCATCACCCTATTACTATTATGTCATCAATAACCTAATATTGGCAGATGTGTCGGCCTGGATGATTTATGAGTCCAGTTCTACTGGATAGCTGTAGTTCTGTGTCTCATTCAAAGCAGTTTGCTTGTCAACATCCAGTCTGATCTCGCCACTGTATTTCAGTCCTCCCAGATCCAGCAGCTAACTTACCCAACAAGAGAGGCACAGCACAGCATCGGTGGGATACTAGACAGAAGATAGAAAGAGAAAGCATGATGGCTCACAAAGGATTTCACCACAAACTGAGTAAGTGAAAACTGTAATCCCTGCCAGTACCTTTAACAACATTGTCAGCGTCACCATATCAGTGAATGCATTAAGACATCTTGAATGATGCAGGAGTTCTTCATTTCTTGGAGTCTCGTGGAAATTCTAAAATGTACACCTATAAATATAAGCAAGCATTTCTCACATACAGATATATTGTACAGTGCATTTGGAGCATATGTGACTCATGTGACATGCTAGTCACAAACACATGCCTCTCTCTTGCTCTTTGTCTTGAGTTAAAATGTCTGAAATTAGAATTTTCTTCTACATACTTTACATGTTTTTGTTAAGTCCAATATAACTGAACTTTAATCTCTCAGAATTCAGATTTCTTTTTGAATGCATGATTTAAAAAAAAAGGGAAAAAAAAGCAAGTTTAAATCAAACACTGTCCTCTATTTTACTCTGTTCCACTTTGATTTGTGATTGGGTAGCAGCATTGATACTGGATTTTTGAGACCAATCCAGTGACTTTATGTCGGCCGATTTCTATACACTGATCAGGGACAACAATAAAGCCACTGACAGGTTAAGCGAGTAATATTGAATATCTCATTACAATACAATGTTCTGTTCAGAGACCTTGGGTCCTGGCAGTCATGGATGGGCATGTGGTGCTTTGACACATACCTCCCACATGGAACATTGCTTCAGTCTAAGATTTTCCCCACAGCGTTGGCTTCTCCCAGCAGGACTATGGTAACTGCCACCCCACAAAAACTGCTCTGGAATGGCTCGAGGAACATGATACAGAGCCCAAGGCATTGTACAGGTGTGGCAGGCCAGTTTAAAACCCCACCAAACTATACTCGTGTATAGAAGAAAAAGTATTAGGTTGTAGTTATAGCAAACATGATATAGTTTCAATTTAGTTTTTCTCACAATGAGGGGTACCACTGTTTTCTGGACAATGTTTTTAGTTATTCACAGTGAAGCTATTGACAGTGTGATGCTTTAATCTTGCTGCTGTGTCACATAATTATAAACCTGTAACATATTTTTAAAAAATCTATCTACAGTGTCCTGAGATTCAGAATTTTTCTAAGTTTTCATAGCAGAGGCTGACATGTTGTGAGGTTGAATTGGAGCACTTCACTGTTGTAATCAGTGTTCAGATATATGTTTTATCAGATCATTTCTCAAAAAAAATGAGCACAAGATTCAGGTTTAGATCATTTATTCTCTATCAGTGTTCAACACATCCTTTTAGAATAAATGATGGAAATAAAAAAATGATTAGTTGCATATATGTGATTGAATGTTTAGTAAACACAATAGATGTTGGAACCATCCAGTCTTGTAGTTGTGAGTTTTGATTCAACAAGTGTAGAAAGTTGGTTGTATATTTAAGTAAACTACCTGATAGCTACTGCGTTTAAGATCTAAATATCAGATTACTGTCAATCACGACGCCCACAAAACTAACAGTTTGCTACCTGGATAGGAAATTCACAAAATTATAAAAGTTGGCAAACTGTGTTGCAGTTTTTTCTCTTTTTTTGTGTGTGGATAAATTCAGAGTGTTTATTAACCCAATAATATATTCTGATCAGCTCATGATTTTTTCTAGTCTGCACTTGATTAGTTTGGAAGGACATTTAAGTGAATACAACTGTGCATTGTAGTGGGTAAAGGTTGTGTCATCAGCATGTGAAATTAAATCCAAAACTTAATACTGTATCCTTGAATGTTTTGTTTGTCTGAGTGTGTGTGACAGGACACCATCAGAGGTTCCATGTCTGTAACCTGAAGGCTCAGAGCTGCTTTGGTGGCACGAGGGGAGTCTGTACACAACATGGAGCAGGTGATTTTAATGCTGTTCTGGATGGATGTATATTTTTTCACAGGCATAACATACACCAACACTTTTAAAAATGATTCCCTGATTTTTCTCAAATTCGTGAGTTATTTCTTAAGTGTTGAACATGAGGTCTCAGCGCAAAATTAAACTTGAATATAAAATAGTAATAGACCATTGCTTCAAGTGGACATCATAAGTTTTTTTTTTTTTTTTTTTCTGCTTTAAATTGTGTTTTGCACGACCACTGTACTTTTTTGTTTGAGTCTCTCCTTGGAAACTGAAAGTATCCAGTAAGTAGGTTCGTTAATAAAAACATTGGAAAGGGCCTTTTTAGAATATGCGTTTTAAAATGAATGTAAGAACTGAGGAGAATTTCAGTGAGTGCAGTGAGAGTGTTTGGGGTTACACTTCACTAACTTGTGTTCATTTCTGAACAGGGAACCAAAGTTAACCTGAACTACTTTTCATTCGTAAAATACCCTCTGAAGTTATTTTGTCTTCAACATTTCAGACAATGCCACATTATCCACTGTGGTGGATTCTAAAATTATATTTACACTGTTCAAAATTCTGATCGAGAAGAGAAGTGATCATGAAATCATTTTTTAAAAATTTCTAAACATTTCAATGTTGGTGTCTGCTAGCGAGCGAATCATTTTTTATATAAAGCCAAGAAACCATAACTTAAGAGAAATTAGACTCTTTTAGTTAAGTTTCCATTATACTGATCCAGGAATGTTTTCTCAACTTGTTCTCATATTATTATAGAGTTCTCCCAAGTATCTTTCTATGCAGAATATAAAGTAAATAAGCTTTGTCTCATGCCATGTATACACTGGGCTTGTCTGGGAACTTGTTGTGGGCTATAGTGTTGGAACTAAAAGGATGTTTTTTTGCCAATTGACAATATGATAGGACAGCGAAGGGTCTCCATGCAGCGAAATGGACATGCTCTTGCTTGAGGAATTGTGAATGAATGACATAAACCTCAGAAATCAGGCTGCCTTGTCATTCACAATGAAGGTACTGGTGACATTACAGAACTGTATGTTTTTTTTAGCTATATGGTTGGAGACACTATCAAGGAATGCCAAGATGAAGTAAATATTTGCAAAAAGGGATTTAATTATAAAATCACATGTCCTAATTGGTATTTGCACAAGATGATGTGCCACACTTTTTGTTTGCAATCAGCCTAAACCAGCAGAAAATATCATTTTCCACAATTCAAAAATGCATTCATTACAAAATACCGTCACATTGGTGTGGGATCAGCAGTAAAGCATGTTAAAAAAATCCATAACTGCATCAATAATATCGAATTAGAACGAAGGATGAAGGCTGTTTATTTATTTCCTTTGACAATCCACCAGCGTGCACCAATAATTTTATAGGAGAAGGACCCGTTTACAAAATACAGACGCGCCTATCCAGTCTTTCAGCTGCATGAGTGTGCGCAAATTACGCAGTAGATCACAGCGATAATAGTGACGGCAAGCAGGCTTCTTGGTGACGCCAAGTGAAGCCCACAGCAGGCTTTAACAATGGGCTCGCGTTGCTACCTGTAGCCTTAACTTAAGTGAACGGGAGAGCGTTTTAAGAATGGGAAGAGCATTCCCCTTTAAACAAGGTGGGCTGAGCTTATTTGCAGTTCTCGCTCCTATGGCAACCCAATAGATCAGCATCATGAATATTCACAATTCACCAAAACGCACCCTGACTATGGATCAGTGATGTCAGCCGTCCCTGGAATGCTCTACTGTATTTTGCACGATTGTGTCGCGTTGTTTGACGGCAGCTGGCAAGACATCTGGTGAAAAGAGCATCCTCCGTCGTGCATGACCTTTCCCTGGTCTCCGTATCACCGTCCGTCGGCACGTCTCTTGCATGTCACGCTAAGGTGACTTTCAAGCAGTTTTTTCCACTTTTTGCGCACAATGTCGGAACGGCACAAAGATGTACATCGGGGACGCAGTGGCCAACCGGACCGCCCAGGCTGTGCGTGAGGACATATGCAAACTGTCAGGTAGTCTGATTATGAAGAAGAGTGTCTCTCGTCTGTTCCAGTAGAGCCACGGCGGTTCATGTCATGTGCAGCAGGCTTTCAGGGATTCAGATTAGCTCCAGACTGATCGCTCTCAAAAACAGATAGGGAGCGCGGGGCTGGTGGCAATCATCGTTACAATAGCCCACAGCCTAACAATCTGGATTTATTTCTTTTTCCTCACTGTGTCTCAATGTCATAATGGACAGGCTGCACTCCTCCATGCGTAAAAGGCTCTACAGTTTGCCACAGCACATTGGACAGAAAGCATCTATAATGGGCGAAGGAGAAGACGCAGACAAGGACACCCGGAGGAAGAGTATTAGGATGAAGCCTCTACCTTCACCGTCGCCGACCTCTGGGGGAAGCTGCAAAGGCATTGGCGAGACCAAAAGTGGGGAGTCTGTGATCATGGAGACGGACATAGGGAGACCGATGAAGACCAGCTCAAACGGGGATTGCCGGAGATTTCGAGGCAGCCTCTCGTCCATCACAAGTCGGCATGTGCACGACTCGGACTCGGCGGAGGAGAGACGCCTCATCACCGAGGGGGATGTCACCCCGAGCGAAGAGAGCCCCCCTGGAGCCATCGGTGACGGGCAGCCGGATCAAGGTGCGCAAGGGGCCAGCGGTGGCGGCGGCGGCAGCGGCGGCGGCGGTGGCGCCCAAAATGATTCTCAAGACCAGCAGTCGGGGTTTATAAAGTTGGATGGCATTGATCAAATTCTGCCGGACGACGAGAGATTATATCAGGCTGGGTTCATACACAGACAGTTGGGAGCAATGCTTCAACCAGGGGTCAACAAGTTCTCCCTGAGGATGTTTGGAAGTGAGAAGGCGGTTGAACGGGAACAAGAGCGGGTTAAATCCGCAGGATTTTGGATAATTCACCCCTACAGTGATTTCAGGTAAATGTAGACACCTCACACTTGCTCCTCTCTCAGCAACAAAAGGTTGGGAGTGAAGCGTCACGTTAACGTCGAGGCCCAGATGTTTTTCACGGTGTGTGTCTCATTTATCAGCTCAGGAGAAGCCCAGTCAGTGTTTCACTCAGTTTTGCACCATCTCCATCACTTATTTTACTTCTTCATGTTGAAACATGACATTCACATGCTCTGTAATAGTCAGCTGGATTCAATGTAAAATACAAATCCTTACACAAATCTCACCATCAGTTTTCAGGATAATGAGGACTTTTTCAGTGCAGTAAAGCATTTGAGGAATTCTGTTCATTAGTTTCATTGAATGCACATATTACACAAGAGGCCTTTAGACACATTGTGTTGTTATGGAACAACCCACAGAAGCACAGCCTTTGCTAATTAGGACTATATAGTCCGCCTATGTGCAGCTGATGCTGTCCATATGGATACATAATTCAACTCTTTACATGGTTTCTTCTCCTGTTTTTGAGAAAATCTGTGCTCAGGGGACATCATTTACCGCTGATAAGAATTAGTGATGAGGCCTCCACATCACATAAGCTTAAAAAAAAACAAAAAAACAGACAAAAAAACCCATGCATTTTGATTTTCTTTTTATCCTCTTTTTCTGTAAATTATATTTTAAAAAGTAACTGGACCGCATCATTTAATTTGATTCGAGAAATAGTTCAAGAGCACTTTTGAAATGATTAGCACGTTTTATGTCTGAATTACACGGTGTTGCCTACTCTAGTGATAAATTATAGCAGCAAACCTGAATAGAGGAACTCAGAGAAAGGCCTGCCGATTCTTCACTGTTGTTAGTGCCCTTGAGTTTGTTATTGGCCATATGCCTGTGGTTCATGGCCACATGGAGGCTGTTAACTGACAAGAAAGACTGGCTTTAAGATGCTTCATCCTCGCCTTTTGGATTTCGCAGCGGTTGTCACACAGTGCTTTTACGCAGAACTAAATACGTGTACATTATACGTACGATACACTAATGTGTATGTTCTCGGATCTGGTGTTGTAGGCAAATAATGAACCTTAGTTTTATGATTGAATGCATTATCCTGTGATTTAATAACACTGGCAAAACTATTCAGTTCTGAGCTGTGTCAGCCTCGGCATTTAGTTCACCAGTACTGCACATCATTTAATTCATGTAAACATCATGTAGACGCTGGGTTTGCCGTTGTTGTACATACTGTCACATTTCAGCTGAATGCTGTCCAGCCTGCCTTGTGTTTGATTGTCTGTGACCATGTAATGGCATGTGGGATAGAAACTTACCATCAAAAGCATGTTTTTTCAGCCTCAAGAACAAGATGTCTGACTTTGAGAGACATGCGAGTTGTAGTGCGAGTTGCTCACAGGCCCGGGGTGTCAGTGGAAAAGGCTAAATAAGACTCTACCTAGAATAGAAAGCAGACATTTATCTGACATCACTGGATGTTTTCTGGTGAATTGTGTATTCAAGTTTGACTATTAAGTCAGCTGTCTAAAGCTGTCATGAATTTTGAGAGGTAGACAGATGCAGTAGAAAAACAAGTAACTTAAAAACAAGTACAAGCCTCTCAAGCGTATTTGTTGTTAGAGAACTGTTTGCAGGTGTTTTGAATCACTACATTGTTTAGTGATTGCTATTTCCAAGTCCACACACAGTTTGGACAGGTCATCAGGAGGAAGTGAGACATTTATTAGACAGTTTGCCATTTTTGTTATGCTCCTCCCAGCTGGTTGTGTTTCCTCTGACCTCCTCTGCACTCTTACTCACTGTGTTAAATGTCACGAGGAAGGGTGGTTTGGGGCTCGGGGAGACTGTCCTGAAACTGAAAGGTCAGAGATTTGGCGCTCGCCATCGGATTTGAAGTGTCTTTGAGCAAGACTTTAAAACAGCAGCTCTATTCCGCGCTGCACTCAGTGAAATAGATGCTCGTGTGACTCTCTCCGTGAGCTGTACCAAAATAAACAGATAAATGAAAATGCACTGAGAGAGAAGTGATTTAAAAAATGAGGTTGGCCACCCACTTGTTTGGGGTCTGAGGGTGGATACCGTGTATTACAATAATTAAACATTTTGGCGATCTGAGAACAGTTTGCTTGTGGTTCGAACACTCAGCTCTATGATTTTGTAATCACTCAACTCTACAATTAAAACCACAGATGTGGCACTCTATCAGGAGAGTAAAAAACTAAGCCTGTGCTTCACTTAGCTCTGTATGGAATATTGAACATTTCTCTGCGACTAACATAAAAATGCCAAAGGACACATAAATGCATTCATGTGCTTATCATTTAACTAAATGAAAAGATAATGGCCTCACTGAACGAAGTCAATTTCTATGGAACCTGTTTATCGGGTTAACACGGCCCACTGCGATGAGTTACAGCTTGTTTTTTTTTATTTCTGACTAAGTGAAGGAGAAACATGATATTCGGCCGCCTACATCCTACAAAATCAGGATCAGAAATGGGACAAGATGACTGCAATTAAAGTACACAAGGACATGAGTGGGACCTTCTAATGGGCCTGGAGAAGAGAAGGGTCTCTGTGACTAAAAGTTTTATTCCCATGTCTGCATCAAAGCTTTGGCACCATAAGCTCAAATTAGAGTGTCACAAGGAATCACATAGTCATCACTGTGCTGGAATTCAGCAAAATCTCCTCTTGTCAAGTTTTGTATAACGCTAAGAAGCAGGGGAGGAGCAATATCTTGCAAGGGAAAAAGACGGATTAAAAATGGCATCATAATCCAATCTACAGCCTCGTTTCCAGATCCAAAGCTGAACAGCCTTCGATTCTGAACAAACATCTCCCAGTGAGCGGTTGTGGTCAGCTAACCGCAGGGTGGCATCTACAGCGCCTCCAAAAACAGGAACCCAGCTGCTATATGTATGGAGCATTTTAAATAAGTACAGTTATCATTATCCTGAAGCACCAGCTGACCATCCAATATCTGTGGGAGGATGATAGGATTGTCAAACAATACATATGATTTCCTGAGATTACTACCCCCTCTGCCCTCTTTCATGCTGTAGGCTTTTGTTAGATATCTGCTTTGCAACTTTACTTGACTCAGTCATGAAAATGTGACTTTGTGTTTATTATTTAAAAGCTCTTGTGGCATAAGCTGTGCCGAGACCCATCAATGCTGCATGCCCTTGGTCATAAATAGAGACTCATAAAAGTCACAGAATGCTGATAGATGGAGTATTTCCCTGCTTGATTGACAGAATGATGCCCCTCTCACAGAATGAATCCTCTATCTTGGTATGATGAAAACCGGGTGATTATTATTTTCTTACCTGTTTGCACAGAGCCCATTGAGGGGATTCTGTCAATGCAGCCGCGTTGTGCAGCATTCTAGACAAATGATGAGGCGCAATATTAGGATTCAGCCCTCTGATCGTGAAGAGCCTTTTAATTATCTTGTGATTCAGAGCCCAGAGGACACATCTGTTGGAAAGTCTTCCACATTTCCCTGGAGAGATGGAAAAGAAGATGTCGCACATTAAAAATTTTTTTTTCTTCTTTTTACAGTGAAGGCTCTATTAAGCTTTAGAACCATGTTGCCAATACTACCGGGGAGGGAGGTCGGCTGTCCTGCAGTTTCTGTCAGTCAGTTAAATCCCTTTGCAACAGTCAAGCGAATCCTTCCATCCCCTCTTGCAAAGTCCACTTTTGCAACAGCCTTTTATTCCTCCCGCACATCCAGTTCTGTTTCCCAAAAGACACTTACCTAGACAGTGGCAAAAATAAATCCTCTGAACAGACATCTTACAATTTTGTCTCTGTTATTTTTTTATTTTATTTTTTTTTTACAGAGAATACATTAAAGAAAAGTAGAGCAGATGTAGTCACCGTCGTTCACATAAAGGCTGTGTTATAGTTGAAGGGATGTAACTTTTAGGTCAAGTGTTGACTAAATGAAAATGTGCAATGTGCTCCTGAAGGCATTTCTGTTGCCTAATGGTTTAACCAGTTTCTTATTCGATGTAGTCATTCTGCTGCTGAGGTGAGTCACAGCATTTTCAACGTCCTCCATTATCCCCCATAGAAAAAAAGCTGTTTTTGCAGAGTTTTTCATACTGTTTGCATAGGTACTGTTCAGCTTTCAAAAGGTTAAAATGGCGAGAAAAAACTTGAAGTTTAACACTGAACTTAGACTATCCTTGTACTTTCTGACACATTAGGAGGAAATAATTCCAATTGCTGCTTTTATGAGTTTTGATGTAGTTCAGGAATTATGCTCCTTGGCATTACAGTCTTTATGAAGCATTAGCCGTCACTAGCAGCTACAGGCTTTGTGCTGCAGATACATTGTACTCCTGCTGTACCGGCGTGTGCACGCTGGTGTATCTGTGTGTGTTGTGTTTGTGAGCGTATGGGATCGTATTCAATGACAGCATTCTCTATTTCAGTGAGGTTGATTACAGTTGATTTGAGAGTACGTTTTGCTATTGATTTGTTTGGGTCTCATGGGGCCTCCAGCTTCCCATTGTTGGATTTATTGAAAAATGAGATGGAGCCACATACATGGTTGCAACAAGGGTGATTTCCCTTCTTGTGGCTGTGGCAGGAGTCATAGTCTGGGTGAGACAAAGGTCAAGACGAGGGGCTGGAGAGGCAGTTGAGGAATGTGAAGGCTTCCACACTGGGAGCCACATTTAAAATGCATTTAATAGGTTTTTGGTGACGTTCAACCAAACAATGATGATTGCAAGATCCATATAAATGTTTTCGTGAATAGATGCACGGATTGAATTCAGAGTGTTAGCAGGTTCCCTCATGGAGCACATTGTCGTGACTTGTCCACACGGGAAGGTGAGGGTAAAGGCTCCTTGAGACGACGTAGGATGAATGACACTCTTTCGCTTTCAGTCTCCATTAAATAATTCCTCCTTTAATGTAGTGAGGGAAAACATGGGGATTACAGATGGTTCTGGCTAGGTCTGAAAGTGGGGTAATCAAAATAGGCTGC